CTCCAGTCAGGGCATCTGCGGAGGCCACCTGAATTCCAGGTTGCATCGTCACACCTTCGTATAGGTCCTTTGCGAAGCGCTTCCAGCTCATGACTGGAAGCGAGGTCAACTCCGACGTACCATTCGGAGAGTTCTCCAACTCCATCTTCTTGTACTGGTACCCCGCACAGGCCCGCGTCAAGACGTTCAACGTCTCGACGGCCACTGTCGGCTCTTGTGTCTGCCCGGCAGACATACCTTGAAGAGTCTCGGTCCCGGACCGAGACTTGCGCAGCGTCTTGTGCTTGCGCCGTCGCTTCTTCTTGTGAATCCCGGATTGGATTCACTTGCGTTTTGTCCAGGCCCGGCCATGGACGAATGTACCTTAATACCACCGGCAGACATTCCAGTCTGCGATCGCCGGCGGGTTCTTGTACCCGCGGGCACGCGTCATCAAGCCCGGCTTGATCGCGCCCGGCTTCGTGCAGCCGGGCTGCACGACAGCACACAAGCTTCAGTGCTGGACGTTTGCAACCGTCCAAACAGCTTGTCGCATCGACTTCCATAGTCGATGCATTGTCGTCAACTCTACGCCTTACAGCGGAGCAGTGTGTCGCAACTCCCGGAATTGACACCGTTGTCATCGACGCCTCACGGCGGAGAACTTTCTTCGTTGTGGCTGGTCTCTGACCAGACACTCCTTTTCTGTTAACGACCCCTTGACGTTATAGCCCGCGCGCTCCACGCGGTACGACCGGAGACAGCGGCGCGAGCCACTGTCTCTGAAGGAGGATCAGATGCACCGTTAGGTGTATCCGCTGCGCTAACAGGGCCATCGCTCTCTGTTGCGCCGCGGCGTCCGAAGCGTACGACCGTACGCTTCTCCCAGTCGATAATAGGATCATGCCGTGCAAGCCACGGCATGCCCAACACCATGTCGAACTTGTCGCCCAAGACCAGGACGAGAAGTTCTTCCACAAACACCTGGTCTTCTAACTGACTTCGAGGCACATGGTTCTCCTCGAAGTCCAACAACGGTAGACTTTGCTGTCGAACAAGTTGTTCGACGCGCCCGAGTTCACCAACACCCGAAGAGAGTCCGCTCTCTTCGTTATCGACTTCACCTTCACGATGAAAAGGTTTGGTATGTCATCTTGCACTTCGCAGTGAAATTCCCTCTCACTGGGGGCTGCAGTCATCAATACCGCGTGTCCGTTGTAGACACGCGTGACTACATTACCAGTAGGGCGCCCTGCGCCTACTGGTCCCTTGCGTTTTTTGTCTCTAAGGAGGGTCCTCATTTAGGAGAGCCCTCGCCATTTGAGAAAGTAGCCAGTTAGTATAATGGAAAACAGGAAAAGGGTAAACCTTTATCTAACACCACCCATTCTAAGTCTGTTAGTCTCCACAGCTTCATGAGAGCTCATGTATCGTTCTACCACTGGGTGTGTACTCTTTCAAGCCCAGACGTATCGAAGCAAGGGATTAACTTCGCCAAAGCTCAAATCGCGGGTGGCACGACGAGCTAACAACATTGCGGTGGTTGCGAGGGCGCCAAGGAAAGGTTCTACGCGCGTTGTGGCATGCACTACCAGACGATGTACACCAAGAACTGCTAAATGCGGACACGGACGCACCGTTTCCTCTAGGAGGAGCTCCAAGCGGGATTTTAGACAGTCGCAGTGATCCCTCATCCTACCCGAAGAGAGTGGGGAGGGTTGAAATGTCAATATTGGTCAGCGAAGGGGCTTCATCGTCTCACGCGGACCAGACAGACCTGATACCAAGAGATAAAGCATTTAATCAGTTTCTGGAGATTCACGACAGCCTTACCGCGGTGCTACTTTAGAGTTAGAGCTCCATGCAATGGCTGTTGGAGTTTGAAGTGGTGACGCAAATGCTGTTGCGACTCATGCAGCTGGAGTCCTGGAGTGTTTGACTGGTAATTTAGCTATGCAATTTGGGAACAACCAACGCGAGATTATATTGCGTGCTATAAATGACGTCGCAGAATCAGTATCAGCTACAAGAACCCAACTTAGTACGGCAATGCACACTGATGTAGATGTTGAAGAAGATACGGATATTCTGCAACAAAATGTGAACGATGCGAATGCAGCCCTGGTCGAACTGCGCAAAACGGCAATGGATGCAAATAGTAATTTCAGATCCGCTTTCGAGACTGGCAAGAAAATGCATGGGGCTAGATCACGTCACTTGCAGAATGTTGTATGGATAAATACAAGCAACATTCCGAGTGAAAATACAAACAATGAAACGACCGAAGTGGAACATGAATTGGAACAGGAAGAAATAAATTCGGAGCCTTCGAATTTACTTGGAAAGCGAAAAAGTGGACCGACAACCACTTCAGGTGCTGAAACAAGTGAAGAGATCGAGGGTAGCGGCTTTGCGGCTTCTGTCAAGAAAAAACCAAGGACGTGTGTCCGCAAAAAAAGCATCACAATAATACTACTTTGGATGAGTGTGATAGATATTAGTGAAGAGCTACGTATTCAATCAAAATTTGTTTTAAAAACTATGTGTTTAATTTGTAATTTTTTATAATATTTTTATTAGAATAGATATATTATAATTTGACTAGTTAAATTGAATGGTAATTACTTATATAATTGGTTCAACAGATTTACGTCTAAGTTATACACTTCTATATTTTAATCTGCGTAAGTGTTACAGTTATACAGCTACTAAGACTACTACTACTAGTGTTACACTACAGCATCCTAACTGCATAAGTTTTACACTTCAGCATACTAAGTGCATAAGTGTAACACATCTGCAAATGAATTGCTTAAGTTGCATACCTCTGTATAATATATAAAGTGTATATAAAAAGGGTCGTGTGATCATGTGAGCTAAACTGAACTCATTACTTATATTGTTTTTCATGAAATTCACACTAGATGCATTGGACCGTGACCCCAAGATCTTGGAGGGATATAATTTTTTTCGAACGCTGGTGTAGCTAAACCAATATTTGTGCTAGAAACGCGCCTGGCTTCTTCTCCTCTTCTTCTAAGCACCTCATCAACTCGTGGGAGCACGAAAGCAGTTCCTTCTCGTACAGTTGATGTTGTTTGCTGTAAGATATGAGGGTGACGTTGTTGACTATTATGGGTACTTAGCAGATGATGTACTACTAGGTCTGGAAAATCAAAGTAGCGGGGTGGCGTTGCAAGGTGATTAAGGTCTAAACGATCCACCAAAATTGGATCCCGAGCTGTTCCTGATGCTTCTTGGTTAATCCTGTGCGATCGGGCAATTCTACGGGTAGTCCTCAAGTTTGCCGGTTCATGAATTCTTGGACACCAGCTTTCTATCTTATCTCTGTATATCCACCAGTGACGGTCAAAATATGTAGGCATCAATGTTTTGGAACCGTTGGATTTGATAATATCAATCAGCTCATGAATACAGGGTCTGCCATTAACAATTCTGAATTTTCCAGTGCACGGCTGTATTCTGTGATGACTAGTAAGTTTTTCTAGAGCCTCATTCCATAAATCATCCGTTTTACGTAATGCCCATACAGTAATTACCCGCGCAATTTGATTGTATTGATCTTTCTGCAAAAGATAAGGTAGTATAGTAGCATCCCGAGCTGATCGGATATTTACAGCGCTAACCTTCGAAACCCAAGCGTTTAAAAACAGTATACAAATCTCCATTAGAATTTTGGACCCATCGTTTACACTGTGCATGGGTTCCTTCAACTGCAGAAGTGTCGCGATATCCAAAGTGTTTGTACTCGTTTGTCCAAAACCTTACAATTTTATGTTTGAATTTCCACCAATGTAAATCCAAATATACTGCCAAAGTAGGAGAAAGGCTATGAAGAACTTTACGTTGCTTTTCAAAGTCTATTTCTGTTTCAGAATCAACAGCTTTGAAAAGTTTTGCATAACTATCTCTGTCTGCCACGTATTTTCAAATTTATCCTGTCCCTGTAAAGGGTTTTCTACCTGAATTCGTCCTAGTTCACGTCGTGTCCTTGCCAGAACATTCTGATTCAAATGTCATCTACATATAATCGAAAGAACTGTTGGAAAAAAACCAGAGCGTGTTTAAAATTGCAAGTTCTCGATCAGATAACATCACACAAGGCATTGGAGCGAAATATTCAACCATCATTGCTCGCATTGAGCGTAAAAACCATAAATAATCACCTTCTTCTTGACCTGATAGAAAACATTGCGCAACTGGAAGTACAGTGTTCATCCCAGTCATAGATATAATATTTACGAGTGGGAGATCGTATTTATTCGTCTGGAATGCAGCATCCATTATTAAAACATCACAGTGCAGTTTGTACAATTGAATGGCTGCTGGATGGGCCCAGAACAGATATCTCAATTGGGTTGTAGAAGGAACCACTTCGTATCGAAAGAAAAAATTAAATTTGCCCAACAAAGAGAAAAGTGCTTCGATAGGTGTTTGAGATGCAATGACCTTGTTTCTGATGCGCAGTTTAGAGTTCTCAATATCTTTGGGAAGAATGAGAGAGTTTGGATCGCAATTCACCATGGATGCTCTAATTTGTGCAACGGGTACACCAGCAGAACTTTGTGCTGCAACAAACTCCTCCATAGTAGAAACCTGTGAAATCGCAGTTTTGGCGGTAGCATGACGTCTATGTGCGGAATGAACGCGAACATCTTTGGAAGGTAGGTGGTTATGCAGCTCGCTTTTGTTACTTGTATGGACAATTTCTACGGTCCCGCAACATTCGCTTTAGAAACGGCGCAAACTTTGAGTCGCATGGGGCATCCACACCTTTTAGAAGCTCGCATTGGTCGTTGCCTTTCACAACTAAATGTTGTGTACATTTAGGTTTTCCGGCGCGATCACATTCAAAATTATGGGCCCATATCTTTGAAGTGCCACTAATATACCGAACATGGTGTCTTGATAAGTTGAAATGGTGTTGCAATGTCCATTTGTGGACTGCTTCTTCGGCGGCGTCATGTGAGTTATATACTGCATCTGGTTGGGGGGATGATAAACACTTGAGGTTCCAAATTGCGAACTCTATCGCTTTTAGATTCATCGTTTTCAGTTTTCTCTTCGTATTCGCGACGATTTAGCGAATCCTCATGAGTTTCCTTTTCATCACATTCTAGCTGGTATGAGCGAACCAGATCGAGTAGCTCGACGTCTACCCAGTCGAGTTCAGAACTTTCTCTGTCAGAAACTGAAGACGCATAGACCAAATTATAGTCAGGGAAATCGAATTCGTAAGATAAATGTTCGCTCTCATATCCCGATAAATGATACTTTGCGAATGGCCCCCTACCTAAATTCTGAAGACTTTCAACGGAGGCACAGTGATCGCCATATTCATCGTCCGAAATCTCATCAGATGAACTTGTGCTCGCCATCTCGTTGTAGTGACTTTCAGATGCGTAATTGTTGCTTCCGCTCTCATGAATCGATTCACGGTTATAACTAGGGACAAATACAGGATCATAATTGTTCAAGGACGACGTAAAATGATCTGAAAGGCTGGATCTCTGCATAGCGAAAGAAAGCAAGAGGGTCCTGGACAAGTAACAATCGGCAGCGTAATAAACCAAAGAAACTACTTTCTTGACAAAGTCGCGCTGCGCACGAAGAAGCTCTGAAATTTGGAACGTGTCATTAATATTTTTCAGCTACGTATAATTGAGGCATCTCCTGCGCCTGCTGCGCAGCCGCAGCATCTGCTCTTGTTATTGTAGAACTTAACCACAGTACCTGCTGGGTTTCGGGGCCGAATCCCGGTATTCGTTTATAAAGCTCCAAATTTACCTTCGAGTAACACCTGTGCCAAATTTGCAATCATAAGAATCGCACTTAAGAATTGGGGCGACGACACAGGTAACACTCGTTTAAAATACCAATCTGTTACAGGTATTAGCTTACAAAATTTTCACTGTACAGTGAAATCCTCAGTTTTGTATTCCACTTCAATTTTTGGTCGAAAAACCTATATCGGTATAAACAGGGTTTCTATATATGGAAAATCAGACTTCACTCGGATCCCGCCTTAGCTCTGAAATAAATTTCAGGGAATTAAAAGAAGTTCAAGGAATAGCATGAAGCGAAACGAAATTCCTATTTATAAACACTCGATAGAAAATGGTAAGTCAACCAAAAGCTAGGTTAATACCGTTCACTAGTCAAATTAAATGTAATTCTC